TGAGGGCAGAGCAAGTGTGCAGCTGGTTCTGGCTGTACCTGTTGGTGGAGTAGCTCCTTAGAACCAAAGGACTGCTTGGACAGTCAGAGTGACCTCTCTAGAATTAAAACTTGCAGGTTTATACCTTCCTGAGAGCTTATTCCCCAAGGAGGCTCATTGGTTCCACGTGCTGTGTCCTGGTCTGGCAGAAGGAAATGCTGCTTGCTGTGACTTCAGTGCCAGTGCAGCCAACTGAATAATTTGGAGGCTTTGAATTAGAAGTGGCTGCCATGTAGGAAATGAAGGCAGGTAGTTAAAATATGGTTATTTCAAGCACCTTTTAGAGACTGCTGGTAGTTTCAAATGATGACAGAATGCAACTAGTATTTACAATGATAAGCCTTAAAGAAGAGTCCAGTGGATGCTTCTTCTGATGTTTAGATTGGTATACTAAGGCTAATTAAATTTAAATAGGTCACTTATAAAACAAATTGATTTCTCTTTTGTGAATGAAAACTTGGATCCAAAACTGTCAAGGCTTCCAGTGCATGTTAATAATGATAATGAAACAATTTGAATAACTTTTTTTTTTTGTCTTTACTGCAGGATGGAGAGGTTGCAGCCTAAAAGTATTTTTCTTTTTAGATTAATTAGCAGTAGCCAAACTAATGAGGCAATTAAAAACCTAAATATGCTGAGTGTCTCAGATTTCATACTTAAAATGTGTGGCAGAGTATGAGATTTGACCTAGTTCCTTGGGTCCTTTCCACTGAAAGCTGTCTCATTTATTTTGGCATAAGGGGTCCAAAATCATTCTTGGCGTGTATTGTTTAACGTGCATATATTATTGTGAATAGTAACTGTCACACCCTTCAGAACACAATTTTCAGTTTTAAATGGGAGTTGTTAGCTTAAAAGCTTATTTTGTTAAGGAGTTCTTTTTAGTAGTACTTAAGAGGATTAAAGGACTATAAAAAAATTTCAATTTTCATACTGAAGCAGACATAAGAGGCAGAAGAACTTCCTTATTCTCACAGAGAACTTTGAATGAAGTTTAAAAGGTTACATAATAAAAAGACTGTTGATATTTAATTTTGTATTGTTTTCTTTCAACAAGGTAGTTATTGACTTAAATTGTTTTAAAACTTTTGTATGGAAGATATGTGACTTCTCCTACCAAATTCTGAAAAGCTGTGCCTTTTCAGCTCACCATTCAGTGTTCCTTTGTGAATGAAAGCATGTTATGCTCTTTAAAGGCACATTTGATGAATGCAGAAGTCATTCTTTATGAAGTAATTAATTTTATAATGAAGTCAGAACCTTGTCTTTGTTTTGAACTGTGTAATTGAGTGTACATTTCAAAGCTTATTGTGGCTGACAGCTTGTGGCTGACCTTCTCCTTGCATACATATTAAATATAAACAGGATGATTCATTTCGTTTCATATTTTTAGGTTGTTTTCTTGCGTTGTTTTTTTTTTTTTCTGTTATGCCTTTCCCCCACTCCCTTCCAAGTTTGAGGGCCACAGTAAAATGGGTTACAATTTGCTTTTGCTTCCTTTGTAGGACTCTTCTTTTGTCCTAAAAACTCTGTTTCTGTGTATACCTGGATAAGCCTTTGTACTCTGAGACTGTGTCTTCACAGACAAGTGGGCTTGTTGAGACTCATCTGTAGTGTGGAATGGTTTGTGCTCAGGATCTGATATTCACCCTTCATGTATTCCAAGTGTTTTTACATTGGTCTGGCTCTAATCTGGACACATAGACAGAATGCATATTTTTTTTCTGGAGTGTACTGGGTTTCACATAAACATAAATCAAAATTTCAGGGTAGTTCTGTCCATTTTGGGGGTAGCAAGGGTACAAGAAGTTTCTTTTCTGGAGTCAAATTATAGCTGTGGGAAAAGACAGCATAACATTTCATTTTAACTGGTATTTACTAAAATATTTACTTTATTACATGATTTTTCAATAATATGAAGTCATAATATTTTACGGTTGCCAAGTGAGCGAGGGGGGTTGTCACAGTAAAAATACAAGTTTAAATGTTTTACAACACTCAGTTAGTACAAAACAAACAAACAAATTCCAAGAATGCTTAGTTCAGACATTTATCTTGAGTAGGTGACAAAAATGCAGACACGTGGCAGCCTGGATGCAAGACAAATGTCCATTTCAGGTCTATTCTGGAAATTTGTACATTTTGAAGTGGGTGGCATGTTTTCAAAGAAAGAAAAAGGAAAGAGTGCTTCATTGTTTCAAGCCTCATTAGACTTTTAATAAACAGAGTAGGGGCTGAGAAGGAATGTCCCAACAGTTGAAAGCTCTATATATTTTCTGAGAGTTGCATTCCAGGAGGCTCTCAAGTAACTACTGTTTTCTTTCTTATATCTTTTTTTCCCTTACAGTCGAACACATAATGTGCCTTGGCTGACATTTTTGATTGTTCCCAGTAATGGGAATGATTTATAATAAATAACACTGCTCTAATCATGGTGTAAACCATTCCCAGTCATGTTACATGATTGTTGCATGGTTTTGTGTTGTATATGGTTCATTTCTTAGGTACATGTATGTTAAAATACAATTTAAGAGTATCAGAAGGGAGATGGAAACTTTAAAATGCAAGACTGTAGTATTTGGCAATTTGAACAATGTGGTGTGGCAAGATTTTGAGGTTTCCATATAAGTTGTGTTCAAATGACTTTTAAATTCTACAAGTTTTTATGTTGACTGTTTTGTGATAGAAGAAATGCAGCTGTGTCAGTGGTACAAGAAAAGCCAGAGGTCTGGGCAGGGGAATATGAGAATGGTTTGGGGATGTCAGTATACCTGATAGCAGAGCAAGTAGTGTGGGAAAAGATAACAACATTGATTAAACTTTTGATTAACTAAGTATTTTTTTTGTAATGTTGACTTTAGTGTCCAAGGCTGATGGTGTCAATTCTCTGCAAGGATCAATTTACACTTTAGCAGGTTGGCTCATTTGAACTTTGTGGGGGCAACAGCTGTGGCCTCTGGAGTTAAATGAGAGGATTAGAGGCTGGTTTTTGAAGGCACCAGTGTAGTTAGTTCTGGGTTCCAGAGGCCTGGTATAAAAGCCCCTTTCTGCAGCTTCCACTGAGTTCTGGACAAGGGTTAGATATTATGTAGCATCTCCAAGATAAGATCGTGGGAAAAAATGTGGTGACTTTTGTTGTAATGTAGCAAAGACATTTTACTTGTATTCTGTCTTACTACAGTTGTTTTGAGGATACAAACCCCAACCAAGTTGGTTTTTTCTTCTCTTAGATTGCTGTAATAAACATAATGTAATTTCAAGAGATATGCAGAGACTAGAATACTTAAATGTAAGAATTGGTGTTAATTAGTTACATGTGTGAATTAGCATGGAAGTATGTGCTCCTCTCACTTAAATCTAAGCAGAGGAGGTGGGCTGGCCCTCAGCTGGTCATCTCTGATGTTCAACCCTGTGCAGGTCTCACTTTTGCTGTTTCAGGATAACATCATTCAGAGGTGCTTTCCTTCTTTTCCCTGTGCTCACTTACTTTGTGTGGTGCAACCCGACCAAATTATTAATGATACTCTGAATACCTGACTAAAAGTGTTTAGTGAGGTGTTAGCAGGCACATCAGTGGTCTGTAGAAATGTGAAGCTTAATAAATCCTAACAGACATAATGTGGAAGGTTAAATTTTGCATCTTGAGTTGTCCTTAATAAAGGTGTAATTTTTTCTGCTGTCCTCTAGAAGAATTAGGTTGTTGTGTGTTTATCTAATAAAAATGTTACAGAGGAAGCATTTGATACAATGCATTGGAAAAGAATTTAAATAAAGTTAATATATTAGCAAGTTTAACTAGTTTTTATGTGGTGAAAAAGGTTAGTGGTGTGTTGAGATGAGAATTTGTGTATATCTGGGTATTTCAGGAAGTTTCATTTGAAACCTGGTGGCAAAGTTTTGAAGAGTAACTGTATGTTGGTGGTTCTACATAACTGATGTTTACATGTGGAATAGTGTGTTGTGTCTTCAGTAGTTTTGCAAAGAACTGACATCCTGGAGGTGAGGGGTGGCCATGCTATTGTTGTGCCACCTTGCAGAGTTGTCAGAACTCACAACAGGACTGGCTGAGTTGGGGTAGCCTTTGGAACCTGTTGGAAATTCTGTGTCTCTTCTGTGTTCCACAGGTGGTTCCACTCTGGAAAATCCACATCACCTTGTGCCCTGTTCTCCAGTGCAGCTTCCTCCCTCCTCTCTTAGTTTCTGTCACAGTGACTCTGTATCTGGCCAGATCTCCTACTGCTGTAGCCCTTTTTAATCCCCTGTTTTTTCTGGCATTAATAAGGAGAGATGAAAATATTGCTGTAACTCTGGAAATTTTATGTGCTGCTCTTGTATATGATTTCTTCCTACAGTTTTCTTTTCTCCATCACATACTTTTAAACTAAACTCTTTGTTGTAATCCCTAGGAAAGCAGTAACAATTTTCAAAGCTTACATTTAGGAGTACTTAGCTGTGTCTCTGTTACTTTTTGAAGCTGTAACTTTTAATTTTCATGCTTAGCTTGTTTTGAATATTTGTAAAAGCTGCAAAATGGTCATGGAAAAAATAAATATGTAGCAAAGATAGGAAGCCTGGAAACAGAGACTCTAGAGAATTTTTAACTGTTTTCCTTCCTGAAATTTTAGTAATTCTGAGTGAATCAGGACATTAATGAGAACATATCTAGAACACTCAGGTATTTTATGGTTTGATTAAAACCTGTCCTGGGATGTGAAAGTGAGGTTGCAGGCTGCTTTTTATCACAATGCTCGTCTGGATTATATGTATAAATCTCTTTATTTGTATCTCATATTTTAAAAATTCTCATTTTCCTTCTCACTTAAGTTTATCTTCTGATATAAAAAAGAGGTCTCAGCTGATTACCTTGATAAATTTGTAGTGTTTAAAAAAAAAAGTCAATGATGAGCTTGAAAACACCCCTATATGTGTATAACAAGTTATCTTTTTTCTTTCAGAATTTCCAGAACTTTTATGGGTTTGAAATTGAACAAAAGACTAGAAATCAGAATAATCTTCATATTTCCATGAATAAGAAGTAATAATGCAACGAAGGCGGGAAAGAGTCAATGCTGGACTGCTTTTGCTGCTTTATCAAATTTCTCAAGTTGGACTGCAGAACATTCCTCCTGTTACCCTTGGGGTACTTGCACTGAATGTTTTTCTCTTTCTGAATCCTGTGAGGCCACTGACTGAAGTGTGCATCAGTGTAAATGAAGCCATCTACAAAAAGAACTGGCAGCGTTTGTTGCTTTCTCCCTTCCACCATGCAGATGACTGGCATTTGTATTATAACATGATTTCCATGCTTTGGAAGGGGATAATGCTGGAAAAAAAGCTTAAGAGCGTATGGTTTGCCTACATAATTGCAGTGTTTTCAGTGCTGATTGGAGTTGTTTATGTGGTGCTGGAATTCCTGCTTGTGAAAATTCTGGATGACCCTTCCTATGAAATGAGTTGTGGTGTAGGTTTTTCAGGTAAGACACAAAGTTGGTCCAATTTGCATATATAAAATTAATTATCTATAGGTGCTATATAAAAATAATTGTTAATTGCAGAGAATGGATGGGTGTCCATTTCCCTATATGTATGATTGTCATGTTAGTAAAGCTTTCCTATTTTTTCATTTAAAGCCTGTACTCTGGGTATGAACATCATGTAATTCAGTTCCTGTTCTTGTGACCAACAGTGACTTTACCTGAGAACATGAAAACTATGTTCATCCTGGTAGAACTGTGTTTCCTGGTTAATATCACTGATTGATTGAAGTCTGAGGGTTTTCATTTTCTGATGTCAGTAATGCTCATTAGATGGCTTCTAGAAAAACCTCCCAGTTTAAAATTTGTATCTTCAATTACAAATTATTCATACCTGTCTTTGGAGAGACTCCCCTAGATTTGCTTCTGCTAGAAACATCCAAGCATCTGATTTTGGTCAACTTCCTTCCAGTAATGGTCTTGTCTTCTCCTTCAGGACATCTGGGATTAGGAGATAACTCAGTGAACTCCTTCTCCTTAAAAAAAAGGAGCAGTCAAATGGAAAAGTATCACTGTTCTTCTAGAAAAGTAGGGGTTTTCCTTGCTGTCACTGGGATCTAGCCTTGGAAGGCAAGCCCTCCTTTTTAACTTCTAAGGTGCTTCAACACCTCTGAGGGTTTCTTTGTTGTGTTCCAATGGGTACTAGTTGGAACATCCTGGTAGTTGTTCATTTGGAGCTTCAGATATTTTCTGGTCACCCACCCTTGGGTAACAAGTCATGCCCAGTTCTAATATTGGCCTCTGTGGTGGCTTTAGGGACCCTGAGCACAAATCCCTTTTCCCTGAGGGGTTTGGCTGCCTGTACCAATGTCAATGTGTCCCTGTCAAAACTTGTACTTGTTGATTTTTCAGGGTTTTTATCAGACCACTGTGAGCTTTCTCTTGAGAGGAACTTTTTTCACAAATGCTTGTAACTTCCAATAAGTTCTCTGAATTCCTTCCATTGTATCAGCTGTTGCTTGCATGATGAAACAATTGCAGTGAATTAGAAACGAATGATTATTTACTGTGTTTAAAGGTGATTTGTCTACTTTTTTTTTCAGAAACAAATGATTCTGGAGTATATGTAAGAAGACTTCCCATTAATTTAGAATTTCAGCCTACTGTTGAACTTCACACATATCTGTTTGTCTTGTTTTCAGTAATGGCTTTTCTCAACTCACAGATTATTTTTTTTTGAGTTCACTAATTTTGTCAATTATTTCAACTGGAACTCCCATTTTAAAATTTGTATTGTTTTGAATACCTGAATAGCTACAGTGAGTAGGCATATTAAAAAGCTACCTGGAATTGGCTGTTATACAAATACATCATTTTTATATCCTTTTTTTTTTTTAAGTCACTGAAAAACCAGCTTAGAACTCTTGTTCTGGCATGCAACAATATGCTTCATGGTGCTGTGGAACTGCATGGTACTTCAGGTTCCTTAGCTAAATTGCTTGCATTTCTTTATTATTTGTGCACAAGTACCTCTCTCTTCATGTGATTTCTTCTTGTTTGCAGGAGTCTTGTTTGCTTTGAAAGTTCTTAACAACCATTACAATCCAGGAAGAGTCAGCACTGTCCTTGGACTGCGGCTGTCCAGTAAATATGTTTGTTGGGTGGAGCTGGTGGCTATTCATCTAATCGCTCCAGGGTAAGTGCTTTTAATGTTTGAAAGTTAGGAGAAGAGGTTTGGGCTCTCTGAAATGTATGGTGAGGCATGAGTAGTGTTAGCTGGTATCCAGGTGGAGTGTCAGGGCTACAAAATTAAGTCTTGAGGCTGCAGTCTTCTTTTTCCTTAACACCCTCTGTTTTGAGCACATGTCAAAATAAAAAACTGAAATACTGTTCCCAGAAGGTGTTACTGAGTATTAGAGGGAAGATAACAAAAGTTGATGGACAAGGAAAAGGGATGTGTGTTTTCCACAAAGTAACCAGACTGACACACAGTAGTACCAGGGGCTTCATAAGCAAACCAGCATTCCAGTGTTTGCTTGCCATTTCCACCCTGCTCCATTCTGCCTGGTTTAGTCACTCTTCTGAGTTCTGATAAAACTATTATCTGGTATTCCACAAATTTTATGGAATGTCACTATCCTACAGTCTTGCTGATCATCTCCCTCTATTTTCCTGTGTGCTCTGATCTGCCAGTACAGTTCACCCACCCCTTCCTCTGTGAGAACAGGGCCTTTCTCTTCTTTGGCAGTTGATTTTTAGAATTCTATTTGCAAATCAGTACTCTTCCTGTATAGTATTTTATAACTGCAAATCATATTGGAGTATATATGTGAAGTACAGATACAAACCCCACAAACTGCCAAATCACAGTTTATATACAATTTCCCCCTTTTCAGAAAGATTTAAAAAAAAAAAAGTGCAGCAATACTGACACAGTCCTTGTCAGATGCTATGATATAGTAGATAGAACAATTCCTAGACCTGAAGGAGAATTTAGATCTTACTCAGGTTAAACACTGGTTTTATTGCTTTATGCCTTGCTGCCAATTGACTGAAACAAGGAAGCCCAGGATAAAAGACAAAAGACCTGCAGAGTGCTCTGTTCCAAATGCAATTTTATTTGTGAGCTGAGAGGTCACTGCATAGCGTTGCTACGAGTATAAACCCAAAGTTTTGAGTGCATTAAAAACATTCTTCTGAAAAATATAACAAAACCAGTTTTTATTTGTGATTATGTTTAATGCTACTGTTTATTTTATTATAAAAGAATAACAAAAGAACATTATGTATGAAGTCAAGCCATAAGAATATCATAGTGTCTATGGTAGAGGAAAAACATGATTTGAGAGGTTGGGTGCTACTGTTTTTCAGTTGCATTATTGCAGAAATATCTTTGGGGTAGAGAGAGCATAAAAAGTTCATAAATAAGGTCAAAAACCATTTCATAATTTTATGGAAGCTTAGCTTGCTGCCTTGTCTAAACCTCTACAGCGTCCTCTACATAGAACAATTTCACAGCACTTAAATGATAATAGAAAACAGGTAGTAATCTCCAGAAATTCATGTCCTAGAACACAACATGTTTAACTAGTAACTGCCAACTGATTTGAAATGAACCATAACTGTAGCTCTCATGGCATTGCTCTTACATGCTCAGGGCAGGTTACAGGATTTGGAGTGTCCCTTTGTAGACCAAATTGCATAATTTAGTTTTGAATAGATAAGAGGTCAGTAACTGGGGCAGAAATTCTGTCCAGTCAAAAAATCCTGCAATAAATTTGGACCTGCCCTATTGGACCGATCTGTCAGGATCACCTGAGAATCCATAACCAATGAAAGATCCTGAAGTAATATTGAGACTATTGAAAACTTTGATTTGTTTGGTAGGAGAGGATTTAGGGGTTTACTGGCATCTAATGATTTTCTTTCTCATTAATGATTTTGTTTTGGGGAAATTTTAAAATGTGTGCAGTATCCTTCTAATCTTCACCTTCCATAAAGTAAGGATATTGAGATGTAGGCTTTGCACAGCAGTCCTTGGGATTATTTGTTTGGTGGAAGAACAGACATGTGACAAGTTACTTTATGTTTCATCTCTGGACCTCTTCCAGAACTGGCCATGTGGTATCTTAAGTCCTAAGTGAATCCATATCATGTTGGTGATTTCTGGAATAGCTGATTTATAAGTGTATAATTTTTCCAAGGACAGACATCTTCCAAGTCAGACATGCATTTTTCATAAATTTGGAAAATCTGTTCCAGAAAAATCAGTTTGAAAAATTAGTTCCTTGTAGATACTTTATTTTGTTTTACCTATAAATTTTCACATCAGCATTTACATGTTACTCTTACAAAAAAATGTTGGTTACTTATGGGAGAGAACCACAGCTCTACAAAGCAGAATACAAGTTTGTTGTAAAGTAGGTGGCAAAAGAGTCCATTTAGATTTGATCTTTACCTCCCTCTAGTGACGTGCATTTCCCTCTATCCTTTTACCAGAGATGCCTGGAAGTTGTATTGTCTTGAGTGCACGTGCCATCTGTGTAACTCCTTTGGATTTCTGACCAGAATGTAAAAAGTGCAATTTTTAAGTGTATTTTTACATTAAATAGAGGTTTAACTTCTACTTCAGAAAGGCAGAAAAGCTTATATTACTTGAATTTTCAGACAACCAGTATAAATTAGTTATTTATAGTTGCACATAGTAGGAAATTTTAATGTTTAGTGTATTGGCTTCTCTAACTTCATAATAGAGGCAGAAAATTTGCAAATAGTTTTTAAACCTGGTTAAACTCAAAAGAGTTTGACTCTTAATTTGAATGCTGAAAATTGATTTATGAATTTATAGAGCACCCCATAGTCATGGCAATAATTGGAGCCAATCTCCTTGTTTACTGGAAACATATGGTTCTGTGCTGATCCCTCAAAAGATTCCAGAGCCTTTTCATTCTGTATGCAAATGGTAGCAATATTTCTAAAGAAATTGTTGGTATGTATAGAAAAGAATTGGGTTCTCAGCATTTCAATTCTCCTTTTTATTTTGAAGGCACTGTATATTCGTGCTTGCCTCAGACTAATTGTAGGATTGTATTGATAGTCCAGTGGGAAGTTCCATGTTTGTGCTTTCGCTCAGAACTGTCAATGGTTCTGGTAAGTCCTACCAGACATTTCAGTGTAAGTCTGTGGTGTTACTTTTTTTAAGCTTAAAATTAGTTTACTACTTTGGTAAGTCTTTAAATGTTTTTAGGGAAAGAGTATTCTGTTTTTTGAACAAGCAATTAAAATGTTCTCTCCAATTAGTTTCCAGCTTTTTTGGGATATTTGTTAGATACTTTTGTATATCTGTATATCCTACCCACTTTAAGGTAGTTGTGAAGAAAGAAAACTTGGCATTAAGTCCTTGCAGGCAAGTAATTTCTCTGTGCTTGGTCTCACTCAGGGACTTCCTCGGTTACAACCTACAAAAAAAAAAGTCTTCCTTTCCATTACTCACAAGATTTTCCTATTTTGTAGGACTTCGTTTGCTGGGCATCTAGCAGGGATTCTTGTTGGATTGATGTACACTAAGGGACCTCTGAAAAAGATCATGAAAGCCTGTGCAGGTATATAACTTTATTGAATTTACGAAATATGCATAAGAAACACTTTGATTTTTAAAATTCAGTAAGTTTTGCATATAGAGATTCAGGCCATTCTTGCATGTTTTTAGACAAGTAAGGATATGCTCACTGTTGAAGTGAATGCAGAAGAAAAAAATAGATCAACTTTTTTTCTTAAATATGGTTGATAAGAACCAGTAGATGTGACTTTCAGATATTTTTTATGTAGAGGAATACCTTTTACCCTTCTTTTAAAATATTTATTTAGAGCAAAATCTTTTAAATAAGATGTCAATGAAAATGTCACTTCAAGTGAAGTGTGGTGAAGCTGTAAAAATATGCCAGGACACAAAATGTTTCCTTCTTTGTCTGCTGCTGTGTCAATTCTAGTGGAAGTCTCAGCAGTTTGAAAAAGGTGGTGGGATGCTTGAGAAATTTTTACTGTAATTCTCAAGCTTTCCAACAATATTTTATTACAGCTTTTCAGATTTTAGTAATAGTTATTTTTATATCTTTAGACATCTTTAGTCTAGCAATTGTTTTAAATACAACCTTGCAAATTTTTACCTGATCATTCCCATGAATTTCAGTGTTTTAATTGGAAGTCTAAACCCTGTCACAACAGCTGTGCTGGGGTTGGTTGTCAGAATATTTGGCTTTTTATGTCTGATTACTTGATAGGTTGAGTACTTAATTCATGACTGTGCCATCAAACTGAGCATGGATACGGTGTTTGTACAGTGGGAAACTGTTTGTTCAAATGTGTGCTCCTCACAGGAGGTTTTGTCACAGGCTGGGGATACAGCCTGTCCATCAGGGATGTTCAGCAGTTTTAAGGGAAGGAGAGGAGGGTGAAGCATCAGGTTTGGAAGGGCTGTCAGGTGTCACATTAGCTAAAGGTTAACACTGTGTGCTCTTGAGGGATGGGGGAACTGCCTGGTGGCTGTTAGAACGTCCACACCAGATCAGCTGCCCAGGGAGGTTCAGCAACCTCCATCCTTGGATGCTTTCAAGACTTGCCAGGATAAAGCCCTGACAGTAACCTGGTCTGATCTCCTCCCTCACCCTGCTCTGGCTTGGAGTTGAACTGGGGACCTTCTGAGGTCCCTTCCAAACTGAATTACTCTGGGATTCTGTGGTAAAACCCATGGTATTATTAGTGAAACATGCTGTAGGGACCCTGCTGCTGTGGAGGTTGCTGTGTGGCTAAGACCTGTAGGAAGGAGTGTTACAGTACACACGTTGTTCTTTTCTCCTCTCTAGCAGAGCAGAAAGAACGCAGTATTGCTCCAGTCTTGTTTTTTTGCATTAACACATTTTGACCAATGAACACTCTCAGTGTAGATATTGTTCATCATGTGCTCTGGAGAGAACATTACAGGTTGGTTTGCATTTTTCTAGTCTACATGGATATGTTGCTTAAACATGGCACACTACTATAAAATCTGGAACAACATACAAGCTTGCAATAGTATATTCTCTCATTGATGCAAAAAAAAATCTATAGATACCCATAATTTCTTGTTTGTATCATGAAACAGACTCTGAAAGAAAGAGTATTTTAGATTTGATTTTTGTATTCTATAAAGAAAGACAGTGTGATTATTTTATTCCAACGGTACCTGCATTATTCTTTTATTTAGGTGGCATTTCTTTCTTCACTGACCCTGGCAGGCCAAGGGACTACTATTCAGGTAAGTACTCTCGTCAGCTGAACAAAAAACTTATTCCAACTTTAAAAATAATTAGAAGAGCTAGTTATATATACAAAATATTCTGCACATATGTATACTTACTAGACTTGTATTACTTCTCTGGGCATGCCTCACCTTTCCTATTTAGAGAAGTGTGTGGATGTATTTTGTACAAAAGGCTTAAGCCTCAAATTAAGGTCATGACTTCCTAAAATGCTACCTCAGGGAAATATCATCCCTTTTGCAGAAGGCATAGCAGTGGGAAAATTGTCTACTGATAGCAGCCCTTTGGACCTTGGTAAATCTGCCCTCATCTGGCAAAATTATCTATTCCATTCTAGGATGTTTTTTTCCCTTCTGACAGGAAACTTCTTCCTTCAAACACTTCTTTTAAATGTAATTTACGTGCAAGAAGCCCCCCCCTCACCAGGATAAATTTAGACTTCACAGTTTATAGATGGATAGTTGGAATACTGGCACACTTTGAGTGTAGCACATTTGATTTACTTCTCATGCAGAACATTGAGTCATTATATGTGGAGTGCACACAAATAATAGGTGGGGACCTTGTCTGTGAGGGGCGGAATTGGAGCTGGCTGTGAGAGGGGCTGTGTTGGATCCGAGCTAAGGGATGCGTGTCTTATCTCCTGCAGGGATTTATGCTCTCTCCTAGGCATCTGCTGTAAGAACAGGATAAATACATAGAGATAACTCTCTCAAATATCTGCCAGTGTGCAGTGGCTTGTGGCTTAAAGATGTTCTCAGCAGAAAGTTTTATGGGGGAATTTTGTCTTTAATAGCCCATGGTAGATTCTTCTTCCATCCATTTGTCAAAAGCTCTTTGAATAGACTTGAAGACTTTTAACACCTACAGCATCAGAGAAGAAGAATTTCACAGTTTATTTCCTGGTATAGAATCTGTCATTTTTGTTTGTTTTGAATCTGCTAACTGCTAATTTAATTTGATGCACATTAATTCTTCTCTGTGAAGGGAAACTAAACCTTCATTCTTTATGTATTTCATGTTCTTCTGCACTCACAACAGTCATCTTTTCTCTCCAGCTGGAAAAATGGAGTATATATGGTTGCTTGTAAGAAAACTACTTCATACATTTGATCATTCTTAGTATTCTCTGATGTTTGGTCATGCAGGGGTTTTTATTTTGTGTAGTCTTTTATCATTGAGATGTGGTTACTTTGAGCCAAGGTTATAGCTGCTTTTATCCTCTCTGATGGATTTTGTCTTCCATGATCTATCTCCAATTTTATTATTACATTACATAATTCCCACAGGCAGGACTCTGGGCCCTTGAATATTTTTGAAGCATCTATTTTGTAATTCCTAAACAATCTATCTTAGCCTGCTTTCCTTACCGACAGCAACAAGGATTGTTCCAACTTAGAAGTATGTTTACCCAGGATTTTCGTTATTCCAATTCTCAAGTTGAAAAACATTTGATCTAAAGGCCAGCAAAGAATAAAAGACAGTTAATACAGTGAAGTGAACTAAGATGTGAATGTACAGTGAGCATGAACTGCCTGTTTCCATGACTGGCAGTCTCAGCCCAGTTAAAGAAGTTCACCCAGCTGCAGGTGCATCCCCCACCAGGGCCTGGGTGTGCTGCTTTGCTCTGTATTCCACATCCATAGGCACTAAATCTTCCTTCAGTATCCCAGTGTAGCAGGGTGGATGGGAACACTGAAGATTTATATTGGAAAAAGTACTTTAATAGCTAATGAAGATAAGAATTTGTACTTGACATTTAAACTCCATAATCTATTACAGCCACTGTATGAACACCAGCTGCTTGGAGCTTGGGTGGGTGTAAGAGGCCACCCTTGTGGAAGAGAAGCTGATTCTGAAGAGCCCTTTATGTTTTCTTTTCCAGCTCTTCCTAAGTAGGGAAAATGTAAGAGATTTCATGTAATAAATCTACCACGATGGGGGAGTACACAGCACCTGAGGAAAAAGCTTGTGTGCTGACAACAACAAAGTCTGGGAGTTTTTTGCATGTTTTGGGCAGTCCCCAAAATAACCTTGCTGGTGCTTTGAGTTGTTGTGGACAAAAGGCAGATGGAGAGGGTTAACCTAAATTATCCTGTCTTCCAAGCTTGGCTTTAGATGTAGCTATTTGATTTTTTTTTTGTACCAAATTAATTTATCTAAAATGACTTATAACTGCAATTAAAAATACAGATATATTTGTTTTGTTCATTCCTTGTTCATATACTTTGTAATTGTCTTTCATCCTATCTACAGAAGTCTTAATGGAAGATTTAACCTTTTGCTTGGTGTATGATATATGTAATAAATTTGGCCATCTGTGAATTAAGGAAACTTGTTCTAGTGTCATAGGCTAATGATGCATATCTTGATTAATTTTTCATTTTCTGGCATTGCTGATTTATTAGGATCTGCCTTTAAATGCCCATTTAAATAGAAAAATAGATGAACAGATTTTATGAAACAGTACAAGGAAACAGCTTTAGGAGAAAAAGGGCTTTAAGTGTAATTTTAACACATTTAGTATTTAGTAGCTGAATTAGATTTTCTCTAAATGCAGTTCATGAATAAAGTATAAGGACATTTATTTTGATTAATAGGAACACCTTGAACACATCAATGTTACCAAACTGTTTCTCATTGTAAAAATAAAAGATTACAGCTTTCTGAGCACTTAAAACTTGATGACAGTGTGAAACATCAAACAGAGAAAAATTTACAGTAATAGAACAAACTTAAAATACAACATCCTTTTGCTTTCATCAGATAATTTCATGCTTTTAGTACTGGGATTTTTATAGTCTTCATGCATGCAGTTCTGAAGCCTCCAGAATATAAATTTGTAGCTGAGGAAATGTTCATTCAGATGAACATAAAGCAGAGGAGAATGAGGGGAATACATGAAGATTACATCCAAAGTGTATAGACAAGACAGCTGAATGCTGCCCTGCAGTCAGTTTTCACTGCAGGTGTAGGAAAACTCTCCCAATATCAGTTGTAATTTCCAAAAAAAAAAATATTTGGAAACGGACAGAACTGCACTTTTTCTATGTGTGTGTGTAGTGTTTATACAAATATATCTACATCTGTGTATACATACATGTGTATTACAAATATATAGGCATATTTGTGTAATACAAATATGTGTACTCCTTTATAGCATATTGTGCTGTTACTCTGTTCAATTTTTCCTGTATAGCTTTTAAGATGGGCTGTTGTTGTTTTTATTTGGTTTAAGGTTCTGGATTTTTTTTTCCTTACCACAATCATTTTAAAAAAGAAATTATTTGTTTGTCCTCACTTCATCATCTGTGCTTGTTGTTAATCACAGAGCCTTCACACATTGCACATGGAATTGATAGAACTAGTGAGAGAACACAAGACTATCATTGATGGCAATAATCTGAAGATAAAAGGAAATGGCATGCTCTGCTTGTTTCATATAAACAGATTTCCACTTTTCTAATTTTGAAGAAAATGTGTATAATTTTCCCTCAGTTGGAAGACACTGGCAACATTTCTGTACTTTAGTTCTTCAAAATCCCTTGTTCAGCTGTCCGGAAATTAAAATACCATAAAACCTTTTGTCTTTTGAAGATGCAAAAATGGAATAGAAAAATGGGACTTGTTTCCACAGTTTTTTCTCAGTTTGTTTTCTGTGCTCAGGCAAGATCAGATTGTGTTGTTAAAAGGAAGAGAGTCTAGCTCAATTCTCTAGCCAAGTAATTTTTTTTTTTCTTTTAAATCCCATGTGTTTGGGTGGATGATGGTTTGTGCTTGGCTTTGGCAGACTTTACAAATGGTCAGGACTAGCTGGTTGTCAGCCGAGCAGCATCACTCCCTGGGACATCACACGAGATCCACGGTGTGGTGGTTTGTCCAGGGCAGGTTTAACTGTGCAGTAGCACAACATGAACTGGATATAGGACTACATTTGATCTATCTTTCTGTTGTTTTTCACTCTCCTGTTACCATACTCTGGTTTTGCAAATTAGAAATTAATTCATGGCATACAAGTAATTGAATCCTAATATTTCTTTCTTTCCAAAATTAAAGTGAGAAGTGAAGATAGATAGTGTAAAGATAATATCTGATTTCAACTTGCTTACTGAGTAGCAGCAATTTATTTTCTTGATTTTTGTTTTCATTTTACAGACTATTATGGCTATTATCCAGATTATCAGTACAGAACTCCAAGGAACTACTATGATTATACTGGTGGGCTCACTGAAGAAGAACAGCTTGAAAGGGCAGTGCTAAACAGTCTTAATGAAAGAGGTAGGAATTTTATTGCATTTTATATCTTAAGTTATGATTCATATTAAGATGGGAGTCAGGAGGGAAAACAAGATGTATTCCTCATTATTTGTTTTCAGTATTTTGGACATATCTTTGGAAATAAATGAAAACTTCCTGGTGGAATTTTCAGAGAATGTAGTGTGAGAATGCAGTGTTGTTCTCTTAGTGTAATTACATTTATTGTTTGATTACCTTACTACCAATGTAGTAAAAGAAATGCGCTTCTGACAAAAAAACCCTGACTAAACTAAGCTGCTGTGCCAAAAATTCTTACAATTCTCTAAAAAGAAGTATGGAGTGGTGTAATAAAAAATTGATGTTGCCAATATATAAACTTTGTCTGTGTGTGGTTTTTTTGCTTTTTGTACAAATGTAATGGACAGGCAATGGACAGGATTTTTAACTCTTCACGCTATCCTTTTCTACCTCAAAGGAAGCTTATATTCTACATGACTGAAAAACCTGGGAAAAAATATTTAGTAATAAAAATGGTGTTTGTTTTTAACTGAAATGTGTTAGTATAAAATGTATAAAATGCATTCAGTGGGATATATTTTATCTTTTTATGATGCAAGTGTAATGAAGAGGGAAAGAATACCTTGTAGAATCTGTTGCTCAGTTTCTAAAAACTTCAAGGCTTGAGGGAAAATCTGTTTAACGTGACTGACAGCACATGATTAGAGCATCACATGTAAAATTTTTGTCATGGTTATGCAACATTTTTATGTTGAATGCTAAAGTAAAGGTCAGAAATGAATATAGTGTGTGTTGTCTGCTGTTGATATAGTTTTTCATATCGAGCATTGCTCCATCTTGAATGTGTTGTATGTCTATGGATTCTTGTAGGAAGTCAGCCACAGGCTTTAGATGCTCCTTAACTTAAGAAACCTGAAAGATTTCTTTTAAATCTGGTGAAGTTGTAACATTTAATCTTAAGAAAAATAATAATATGACTGAATATGTCATAAACATAATTTTTCTTTTTCATAATCTTGGTATTTCATCTTCCTGGGTGCAAGGAGCCATTTATTAGGAAAGAGAGACAGAGGCCTCTACTTGTACCTGCAGCCCTTCAAATGCAGAGCACCATTCATAAATCTCCACTCAGAAAATTAATTTACACCACTGTTATGGCTGTCAGAGAAATACCAGGCAAAATATGAAAACCAATGTCTTGACAAATCATCATCACTTTTACTTTCACACCTTCTGTGATCCTATTTCTTATTATGAAGAACATGTTGTGTTATCTGGAAGATGGTTTTAAAAAGTCAGCAGATGAGGCAAAATTGTAGTAGAAAAAGACTTTTTCAGTTTGACAAATTCATTAACATATTGCTTAAAGTAAATACAGCTCTTTGCTTTATTGGGTTTGTATCTATTGTGAGAGTGACTCGGGAGGAAGAAGTGTGGACTTTTAGGGAAATTAGGGAGTTTTTAAGGGATTTTTTTTCTAGTTATCTTCCTTTTTTTGTTCACCTTTGTTCTGCCTAAGTGTCCCTTAGCATTGTAAAGCTAGAAACTTAAAAAATCCCCTAACATTTTCTACAGCAAGTTTATTGCCTTAGTGTATTTGTTTTACAAATTAATGCAGTCTGAGCAGTCCCATTTCAATCAAATCTAAGACAGTGAAATCTTAGCTTTCAAATAAGTCAATGAAATAGCACTTAGTCCATCTGGTCTGTCAGCAGAAGATAGTAAATGAGTTACTCTTTGTGCTATCTTAGGAATTTTTAGAAATTAACCAAGTAATATGCTGCCCTATGTAATTTTGGAAGGGAATGGGGCTAAAATGGGCTTTATTGTAAGGGATACTGTCTATTTTACTGTCTTTTTAACACATTTTTTGTAACTTTTTTAGTGTGGAGTTTGAGAAAGAAATCCTTCAAAGCTTTTGATATGAAGCATTTTGAAATGTTACTTGCAAGAATGAGCCATGTTTGTGGTCTATTTTTAAACTATCAAGGAAACAGAAAACTAATAACTGATAAAATTATGATAATATAAATAAGTAGACACTATGCATTCTGAAGTCTTCCATGTATCAGGGTGAAACATTTGCAGCTTTCATTTGGAACCTTAATCTAAAACGCTGCAGTCAGTAAGTATAGTAAGTATATCATTGTATATTGCTTCCAATATAATTTGGTGTGATCAAATAGACAGAGATCTTGTTTTCAGTGGTTTCACAGGACTGTTTTATTTTGCACCTCTCTCTCCTATCTGCTGGAGCACTTCAGTTTGGACAAGCAAGACTTCAGAGTTGAGCTCTTTAAAATATTTCCTTAGACAAGCTGTGTAAAGGTTAAACTTGCCTATGGGCAGCTGTCTTATTGCACAAAGGAAGGAATACAGAGCGTGTCGTCGATCAGACCTGTTTTAGGGACACAAAGGATGAGATGGAATTTGCTGTGCTAATGGGAATTAGGATATTCTTCCCTGTCAGTTTGAAAAATAATTAGCTTGAATGAGCACTATCCTTTGAACGTGATACGTTTCCCCTAAAGCGTGAACATTCAGAGGTTCTTGTAATTACATGGATGATGAAACAGGTACTTAACATGACAAAAAATTACATAAAATAATTTGAAATAGAGAGCTAAATGGTTGTAAAAGCAGGTACCACAATCAATTTAGGGCTCTCTTTTCATATTCATTTTTTCCCCAACTATGACACTTAAACCATCACAGTTACTCTGTAACTTGGACAACAAAGTACTGCAGTAACTTCGATTGATTATTAATATTTTTCATGCTTAGTTGGACAAGGACATTTATTGTCTTTTAGACCACAAACTGTAGCATTATAGATTTAGAATGCTGATCCAGTGTTTATAAACTGATTTATAAACTGCTGTGATAGTATCCTGCTAAGCTAATTAGAGTCAGTGACATAATACAGTATTTCCTCCTATCAGTTGTTGTCCCCGACTAAAAACTAATTCATACTACGACATGCATTGAGTTTAAGCTCAGTAGTTACTGTTCTATAATCCTATACATGGGTTATCTAAACCCACCATAAAGATACAGCATTTCTATTTATTGTACATGCAGGCATTCCTGATTCTGAACTGCAGATCCTGAAAATTTCTGTAATAATAATAATAATAATTGTCTAATGCAAGAAGAGAAATTTAGGCTTGTTTGAGATGTATGTAGGAATCACTTTCAAGACTGTCAAACTATCATAGTGATTTAGATCCATTTGCTGAAAGGAACTTCTACTTATATTTTTTTCCATTGCCAGTTTTGGATATGTTGTTGCTTCAAACAAGTATCCATTTACACAACAATAATTGTTTTTCTCTCCAGAGTTTGTTGTTTGGGCTTGTTGGGTTTTTTTGAAATTTTTATTCTTATTCCCATAAGTCTGTGTTTGTTTCAAATTGCAATAATTCTTCCTTTACTTAAGAAAATAATTTTGGCTTTAGAAAATCATGTCCTTTGATATTTAAACTCCTTTAACTAGGAAGTTCAAATACATTATTGCCATTTTAGTTTAATACTGCTATTAGCAGCCACCATTAATGTAACCCCAGTATAACTATATCTCTGATCTATTGTTTGTTTGCTGTTCTGCTCACAAGAAATATCTTGATTAGTGTGGGATGTGGATTTGGATTTTTGTTGTGGTGGGTGTTTGGGATTTTTTGTGAGCTGAACTTCTAAGTGTCTGACTTTCAATCTCAATAATGTTAAGAATCCCTTGCAAGCTTGTGTTTCTCCACAAAGGAATTTCCCTCTTTTTCGTAAGACTGTTTTTTTTTTTTAAACATGTAGGTGATTATAGTTTGTAATTAAAGAGAAAGTATCAGATATAGATATTCCTCTTATATTTTATAATGAAACAATCTCTATAAGCATTTCTTTAGTTTTAATTTAAAACTGAACAAAAAAACCCCATCCACTTGAAAGTTTTTAGGTGACCAAGTATGGGCTAGTTATAGGTATGTTTGGTGCAGTTAGGAAATATCTTGGCATCTGGCTTTACCTGCTCTGAGTTTGAAAGGGTTCCTATTTCTGTTTGCTTCTACTGAGACAGGCCTTTTCATTGGTATTCTGTGAAATTTGCCAAATCCGTGGATTATGCAGCAAGAATAAAATTTATGTGATTAGACTAGAGAAATAGTGAATAATCTTTTTTTTTTTCTGCAGTCAGTGTTATCTTTCCCTTCTGCAAATGTAGAAGTGCCAGTCTTTGCGTTTGATTATGCTGTTTTTCTGTAGAAATACCTTAAAATAGTTAATAAACTCAAATGTGCAGTGTGTGATATCAGATTAAAATACATTTCATAAGGCCATATGCTAGGACTTGGACTTCAAGAATCAGATACAACTTCTGTGTTGAGTTTTGCTTTTTGGTTTTTTTTTGTTTCATTTTGGGAGGTTTTTGTGTGTGTGGTTTTTTGTTGTTGTTGTTGGTTTTGTTTGTTTGGGTTTTGTGGGGTTTTTTTGTTTGTTTGTTTGTTGGTGGGTTTTGTTGTTTTTCTTTTTTTTAATTCAGGTTATGTATGGTCTCAGATATCCAACACACTTCTTGGAAAAAACTTTCCTCTTTAAGTAGAGCTCGTGTTCTAAATATCTTTTTAAAACTGCAACTGTACTCTGTGATCCTGATCACCAGCACTTCCTTAAGGCAAATTTCCAGGAAAATAAATCAGCACATCTTTATCATTTCCATACAAAGCTTTGGGAACGGTGTAAGTAGCAAACAGCTTGCAACAAGAAGCGTGGCTAGAAATCTCTTACAAATATTTAATGAATGTTCTTTCATCTGTGTCCTCATAAATACAGTGGTTGATGTAGGATAAACCAGGTTTGCTGAAAATTGGAACCAGAAACCACCTGATTCTCTTGATAGTGGTGCTAAAACTTCACCAGATAGGTAAGATGTACCACTAAGGCTTTCACCATGGGCACATCTTTTTAAACCAGAGCATGAGCGCCTGTGAAATACTCTGGGATTGAGAACAGTT